GTATTGAGAATCAAAGAGAGAGAAGAAGCTATCTAGCTACTAGCTATGGACCCGTAGGTCTGTGGTAAACTACTCACGCTTCATCGAAGAGGCAATGGTGTTGATGTAGAAGCCCTCCGTGATCGAATCCTCCTCCGGCAGGACGCCGAAAAAGGCCCCTAGATGGGATCTCACGGGTACAGAAGGTTGCGGCGGTGGAAAAGTGTTTTCGTGGCTCTCTGATACGTCTCCAACATATCTATAATTTATGAAGTATTCATGCCAATATATTACCATTCTTGGATGTTTTACGATAATTTTATAGCAACTTTATATCATTTTTTGGGACTAACCTATTAACCCAGTGCCAAGTGCGAGTTGCTGTTTTTTGCTTGTTTTTTACATCGCATGAAATCAATATCAAACGGAGTCCAAACGCAACGAAACTTGTGAAGATTTTTTTGGACCAGAAGGAACCCATTGGGCTAGAGCTGCACCTGGGGGTGCCCCGAGGGGGGCACAACCCACCAGGGGGTGCCAGGGCCCCCTGGCGCGCCCAGGTGGGTTGTGCCCACCTCGGTGGTCTTCCGCACCCCTTCTTTGCACTATAAATTCCCAAATATTCCTAAACCCTTCGGGGTTAACCTAGATCAGAAGTTCCGCCGCCGCAGGGCTCCGTAGCCACCAAAAACCAACCTAGACCCGTTTCGGCACCCTACCGGAGGGGGGAATCATCTCCGGTGGCCATCTTCATTATCCTGGCGGCCACAATGATGAGGAGGGAGTAGTCCACCCTCGGGGCTGAGGGTTTGTACCAGTAGCTATGAAATTAATCTCTCTCTCTCGTGATCTATATCTTGGGCTTTGTTAATATAGTCGGATCATATGATGTTTCTCCCCTCTATGCTCTTGTTGTGATGAATTGAATCTTTATCCTTTGAAGTTTTGTCTTGTCAGATTGAATATTCAGAGATGAGAACACATGATATATGTCTTGCGGTATGAATACTTGAGGTGACAATTGGGGTATCTTATTGATTCACTTGATATATGTTATGGCATTCAACTCGCGGATTCCCGCAGTGATACTGATAGTAGGTTCAATCTTACGGTGTCCTTACTCTGTGACAGGAGGAGTCGCAAGGAACGTATTGTATTGTTATTACTAAGGTTAAAACAACGGGGTTCGAACATATTATTTGGTCTTAGTTTATCTACATTATGCCATCATGCTCCAAGCATTACTCTATATGTTATGAACTTAATCCCTTAGGATGCATGATGTATAGCGGTCGAGGGGCGGGGTAATAGTTGCATATGGATTTCCGTCTATTTCTCTCAGGCATAATGCCCATATATTGATCATGCCATGAAGAATCGTCATAACTATGTGTTATTCTATCAATTGCCCAGCAATAATTTATTTACGCACCGTACGCTCATGAGAGAGATGCCACTAGTGAACCTATGGCCCGGGTCCATTCACTTCATATTTACTAAACCCCTAAAAATATTACTGCAATTTATTTACTGTCATTTTTAATTATATTTTATATATCTAACACTACCAGATTTAATCCTTGCAATTGACGAGAATGAAGGGATTGACAACCCTTTTGCTGTCATTGGGTGCAAGCGTTGGTTTTTTTTTTGTGTGTGTGCATGTACCACTTATCTCGTCTGTGTGATGTCTCCTATTGGTTCGATAATCCTTGGTTCTTAACTGAGGGAAGTACTTTACGCTACTACGCTATATTGCCCTTCCTCTTTAGGGAAATCCCGATGATATCACAAGGTGCAATTACCATTGATGAAAATCACTTTCATGACGCGCCATTTATCATTACGGAAGTGAACACTTATGTGATGATAAATGCATTATTGCCATGGAACACTTCTACGACAACACATGTATGACTATCTTGATTCCGTGTCACAGATGTACATGCATGACAAAAAACGTGACCTATTCTGACAAACACATGTCATCATGAATGTGTTTTTTTAGTGATAACCCGGTAGTATCACTCGTGAAGGGAGCGATACAACTGCACTAGACAATGGTACAGCCGTTGTGGCCAAGCAAACCTTGTGCACTCCATAAAGAAGCGCTACAACCGCTGAGGAGTCCTGGATTAGGGCCCCTCGGTCTGCGGGCCTATCCCTTAGGGCTGGACTGTTGAGCCGGTTTGCTAACGCTTGGTGGCCGAACATATGTGGAGACCCCGTATCCGGACAGGAGACTTTTTGGTGCCTTGGTGTGTCCTCCAAGTCAAGATGAGAAGAATCAGCATGTTTATCCTTTCCTTGTAACCGACCATGTGTAACCCTAGCACCTCTGGTGTCTATATAAATCAGAGGGTTTAGTCCATAGAAGGAAGAACAACAACCATCATCCTACTAGTTTAGGGTTTACTTCATCTGATCTCGTGGTAGATCGACTCTATAATCCTCATATACATAAGCAATATAATCAAGCAGGACGTAGGGTTTTACCTCTTATAGAGGGCCCGAACCTAGGTAAACATCGTGTCCTTGGTTCCTTGTTCCCCATTGATCCAAGATCCACAGCTCGAGACTCCCTACCCGATATCCACCGGTTTTGACATCGACAACCGCTTGGGAGGTAAATACACTGGTTAGACTTGAAATTTTCTCCTCAAAATGGGAAGGTAGATATGTGGGTGCAATATGTATTTGTGTACGTGATTAGATTCTACACGTACCTTTCGATACAGACCCCTGTTAATAGTATGATTTTCTATGACTAAAGAAATCAATGTCGAAAATGTCGTCTTCGCTCTTTTCTTTTCAGAGGGGTGCCTAACCGTCTTATGTCATGTAAATATGCTTGTGTAGCTCAAACACAGGGTTAGTCTGCAAATTGCGTTTTCATCAACACCAAAACACTTATAGCGGGAAATGCCCTTCCAACGAGGGTACGAAAGAACGTACAAACGATTGTTTCAAGCACAGTTGAAATGTAAATGACCAACGTCCATGAAGAGCTTCCGCACATCAGCTTCCTCAACAAAAGACACACTAGAACCAGTCTGCAAATTGTCGTGTCTATGGTCTTAAATGAGAGGTGTGAATCTCCGTCAACGTCATCCAAAGGAGGAGGTAACCAAACATGTTTTACACTTGCCACCTGCGACGGCCTTTGGAGAAAAAACAACATCAATACTTCCAAACCTTCACCACTAATTCAATTTGTTGGAGAAACCGGACCATATTGCAAACAAATTGAAAGAAGAAGACAAAATTGTAGCCCCAAGAGCAAGCTAAATGATTCTTGATTGACCCATCAACCAACAAGATATGTAGAGAAGCGATAAATATGACAAGACCTACTCCCATCAGTGTTGGGTTGATTGTCGTTGAGTCAAGAAGAGACATTACTACAATTCATCATCACTTTTCAACTTTCAACCTCACTGATGCCGCCATGGAAACAAAACTTCAAAAAACAAGAACCTGCTAGAACTAACTAAGAACAACGAAAGGAACGGGTCCCTCCTCCTCTGGCCGTCGACGAGGCCGCCGGACCGGAGATCGGAGGAGTACCAATCTGCAACGTGGAAAACAGACTCGGTGGGAGCTTCGTGTTTGCAAAGATAAAGCTTTCCCCCGAAAAAGATATGGAAAATGTTAACGAGCTACCGCATCCTTGATCTTGCTTGACTGGAAGGGGCAAGTAGTCAAGATCGTAAGGCTGGTCACAATGAGGAGGAACTTAGGCTGGTCATAGTGGGAGTAACATAGGTAGTAACATAGATGCCACATAAGCAAAATTGGTGATGTGGCAAGTAGTTAATGAGGAGAGAGGCAAATAAAGTAACATAATATGTTACCATCACATAGCGGTTTCCAATGCATAATGAGTCTACAAAGTAATAAATAAAGGCAACTATGTTACCACACCTATGACACTACCCACTATGAAGGTAGTAACATAGACTAGTAACATATATATGTTACTAGTCTAAGTTACTCTCCACTATGACCAGCCTTAGGAGTAACATCACACACTCCAATACAACTTTGCTTATGTGGTACATATTTAATGAAGAGAGAGGTGCTTGTGGTAACTAGCTAAGTTACCGGAACATCACACACTCCAAAAAACAATGAGTCTATAACCTAATAAATACATCGTTGCATGACACTACATAGATGTTCCTACTACCTCCGTTTCAGCTTACAAGTCCTACGCGTATACCTAGGTTGCCAATTTTATCACCCTAATATAAACTATATAACACAAAAATTATATCTTTTGAAAGTAGAAACTCCGAAGTTTATGTTGATATATTTTTTGTAATATATGACTTGTATTAGATTGGTCAAATTAACGACCTAGAGATACGCGCACGCCCTGTAAACTGAGAGAGGTAGTAACATAGTTTAAGAAAGTGTGTAAGTTGTTTTTATCCATTGTGACCAGCCTAATTCAGGACTGGCGACGGCACGCTGGCGTTGCGCCGTTATAATTCGCCACGCCAGGCAGAGGAGAGCCGCTTTTCCACGGCTCGGCTCGCTCGCCCGAGGGGAAAAAAAGGAGAAGAGGGAGAGAGAGAGAGAGAGAGCTCGCCCGCTCGAGGACGCCCGTTCCTCTTCCTCCGCAAGAAATAGGCGCAAACACAACAACACAGTGGAGCCAACGGAATCCCCAAATCGATCTCTCGTCTCCGGGCCGAGAACCCCCAATTCCCAGTCCCCAGCCCCCATTCCGGTCGCCCTGATCCTCCCCCGCAGGCGATTCGTCGGAGTTCGCCGCCCCTCGCGGCCCCGCCGGTAAGCCCAATCCCTATACACCTATGGCCCTGCCCGGCCTCGCGTTTCTCTCGCCCGTTCCATGGCCAATCGGATCTTCCTTTTCCCCGCGACGCGGCGACGTTCTCTGTTTTCGTGTCCGCTAGGTTACTTTCCGTGCGAATTCCTCAGCGGTTGATGCCGTAATCTGCTGCAGGGTTCTGTGATTCCGCCTCGGGGATCTCTCCGCTGCTCGCCGGCCAGCCATGGCGCCGGCTTCGGCTCCGGCTCCGGCGTTGGACGTCGAGGGCGAGGTCGGCGGCGGCAACAGCCAGAACGCGCTGAAGTCCGAAGCCGACGGGGAGCGTTCCGTCGCTCCCAAGACGGGAGGCGGTTCTGTGCCTGGTGAATTCCGCTCAGATGACCCGGCCACAGATGTCTGTGAGGACGCTATCGACTCCTCAGATGTCCCTGCCCTGGCTTTGGATGTGAACGGCGAGGGCGGCGGGGCCAAGGAGAATCTGGGCAAGGTGCGGGTGAAATCCGAGCCAGAGCACTTTGAGGGCGAAGGCGCCGTTCTCGCCCCTTGCACCGGGCCTGCGGGTGCCAATTTTGTGGGGATAGCTTCCTCCTCCTCCTATAAACTGCCTGTGGCAAGTCCGGAGGACTCGACTGACGAGCGAGGAGGGGATAGCACAGAGTGCTCGAGCTCGTTCGCAGACTCTGGTGATGAGGCAGGCAATGGTGACCTGGAAGTGAATTCTCCCTTTTCAGTTCATGCTAATGGCGGTCAAACCTCCGCGATGCCCAGGTGAGTCTGTTGGCAGTTCCTTGTATGCATTCAATGATACTGGTTGGATGATTATGCAACCCTGTTTCCAGATTGTCTGATTGTATTGTTTGAGAAAGAAATGAACAAGCAGAATACCCTGTTAGGCAGTTAGTAACTGATATTATACACTCTTGGCCTTGGGTTTCCCGCGCTGGCAGGGTAAAGGGCAGTGCTATGAGTACGATAATTTTTGTACGACTTCTGTACGACACTGCCCAGTTACCCTTGGATCAGATCTATGCATCAATAGGAATCGTGGGATCACAACGCTGGACGTGAATCGGAAATATCTAGTCGTACGCAGAGCAATTTCGCAGGGTAAAAGGTAGGTTGTAGAGTTTTGTTTGCTCGTAGCAATTTCGCCGGCTTACTTATTATTGCTTTCCCTAATAAATACTAGTGCATAGGTTATACAGAGCTGGTTACAATTAACTCATCCATCACGCCGGCGACTGTTTATAGTTTATCTGCCAAAATTAGCAGTAAGTGATCCGTGCCGTTTTCTTGTGATCTCATCGTGGTTTTCGCTGAAAATGTTGGGCCTACAATTTAACCTTCATGTGTTTTGTCGAGTATGTATTGAGATTTGTCAAGGAAGTAAGGATAACCAGAAAAAGATATTCAAGAGACAACTAGAAACCTTCATGTGAATTGTGAAGGCAAGTGCATGATCTGTAGTTATGTCTTGATGCTGCTCTAGTCGCTATTTGAAAAATCTTGGCAAATGAGCAACAGAACACATGAACTGAATTGAATGCCCAACGTCTTCAGCCTCTAGCTCTGCACCAAAATTAATGACTAGAGTACCCCTGGGTAGGGTACATCCTAGTTTAAACAGTCAAGAAGCAATTCATTTGACATAAATGTTAATTCACATATACATTTGCTAACATCAACCATCCAGCTAACCCCGTCTTGAGTAATCCAAAGGCATGTCCGCCAACAGTTTTCTGTGAAGCTCAACAATAACTGAAGGCACTGCTCGTAGTTCATGACCTCTAGTTATAGAATGCAGACTTTCTTCTTTTTTACCCCTCTTTGTCTGATACTCACTGAATTGCTGTCCCAACATCTATGCACCAGCAATACACCCAGGTAGCTATTTGCTAATTTAAACAGTTGAGAAGAATTTCCTTTAGATAAATGTTTATAATTTAAAGACTTCTCTTGTTTGACAACACACAAAATTTGTATAAGTGACTCAAAGTTTATGACATCCAGTTGTGTCCTCAGTTTTCCTTTTAATCGCCCCTTTCTAGTTTCCAAGATCTGCACAACATGTTCACCTTTTTTTAGATCATCAGGGAGGCTGGTGGCCACCCCAGTTCCATTAATCATGAAACCACCAAATCCATACAGGTCTAAAAATCAGGTAAAAAGATCCAGCAGCTAAAAGAAAGTTGGTAAAGACATAAGCCACCTCCAAAAACAGGGGAGGTAAACAAAAGGCTACTTAAAAGGAAAATTACAGCAGGATCATCAGCCCGCAAAAGCCCAAACTATACAGCAAGACCAGAGAAACTTCTGCAACAGCCTCATCTCGGAACTTGGTCTTCTTCAACGGAGACTGGGTTGGCGATGGCGCAGGTTCCAGAGGACTGCAAGGGCTAAGCATGGCCATCTTCAGAGCACACTGCGGATCCTGCCTGGGAGGGGAAGACAGTAGTTCACCAAGTGGCAGGTCAAGGCTGCGATCAATTGCATCTGACAGAGAAAGCTTGCTAAGGAGCGCTGAATTCAGGTCGGCATCTTCAGTGCCAGACTCATGTGTAGTCACCCCAGCAGGCAGTATGGTATTTTGATCACCGTGGAAAGCATAAGGAGAGAGATTCCATTCTCTCCGAAGCACCATACTTGAACAGGATTTTCAATTTTTTCAGAGTAATCAGGATTAGCCACCACACCTGTTTGATGTCAGACCACATCATATTATTATAAACATGGGAATACCTAGTTTTCCATATATGCACCAAAGAGTATAAGCACAGATATAATTAAGGGCAGCATGATTTTTGTTTGCTGGTCAAAATCTAGCTACTGACAGAAAAACATGTTCACCTTTCAGCTACATTATTGACTGGAGTATCCCAGGGTCTAGTCAAGAGGCAGTTCCTTTGAGTAAACATTGATTCACAGATATAGTTGGCACATCAACTATACATTCATATATTTCTCTTCAATAATTCGAAGCACTCTTTCTCTGTCTTCTTGGATGTAGACACCAAATTTATGTGAAACTCGGCATTACATGAAGGCTGTCTCAAAAGAAAACTGGTGCCACATTTCCTTATTTGAAACATCAGCCAACGTTGTGTCCGACATCTTCAGCCTGCAGCATTAGGGACCAGAGTAGCCCTGTGTAGCTACTTCCTGGTTGAGATAAACATTCATTCAGAGAGATATTTGCCGACATGAATTATCATCTGTTATTCTGACGGCAATGCATGTTGTGTTGTGCACTTGTTTCTTCATAAGTCTAATGAAGCCAAAAATTGAGTTACTCTTGTGTGTGCTTCAAATTTCTAGCTGACCTGTCATATTCTATGGGTATTGCATCCTCAGTGCAATATTTCCATATAGAAGAAATTATATCTACTATGTTATGCTTCCGTTTTGTGCAATTTTTTCACATGTAAATTATCTTTCAGAAGGAAAAAGGTAACTGCCGAGTGGAGGAATGCGGTCCGCCCAATGCTGTGGAGATGTGAGTGGTTAGAGCTGCGCATGAAGGATCTTTTATCTCAAGTATCAAAGTATGACAGCCAGCTTGCTCTCATCGAGCAGGAAAAAGAGTTGCAGAGAGCAACAAGCAAGACAAATGGTTGTAGGCAAGAATCTGGGAAGAACTGCAGAGACCATGAAACTATTAGCATGGAGAGGAGAAAGCGCAAAAGACATGAAGACACCGTGGACACATCATTGTACCTCAAGAAGCACAAGATATTATCATACTTCTTTGGTCCGCTATCTATTTATTTTCTGTTTGTAGGGATAGTGCATCACTTATCCCATGGTTTTCTATGTTTTGCACCAGGATACTACTGGTAATAATAAGGTTATTCTTGTCTTCTACAGATAAACAAAACAAGGGAGCTGACGCAGATGGCCTCTTAATTGATGATGATAGTCATGGTCAAGGTATGGATATGGTGATCATTTTCAAACTCTTTGCTGGAGTTAACAAAGAAAGTTATTTACTACTGTACCTATCAAAATTTTACATTAAGTCGAGCTGCCATGTTACTTAACCAATAGAAAATGCTTGCTTATATTAGGGCACCTTCATTTGTGTTGTAGTCACATGCAAGCAGTTAAGTAGCTGACCATTAGGAAGCTAAAAACTGCAGTCTTTCATTAGTTATGACTGTATGACAGATTTCAGTGCTCTGCAACCAGCAGACATCTGTGGAACTCATTTTGCTAGGTGCATGCTTACTGTAAGAAAGCTGACAGACCTACTGGCGCCTTGTTCATACACTAGGTAAAAATGTTCAGGGCATCATGTTAGTGAGTGCTTTTATTTTATCAAGATAGCTGACCTGATGGTTTGTTAAATAACCAAGTAAATAAGTATACAGCCATATCTTGGTGTGTGTTCCCTGCATCTAACTGATTCATAAATCTTAGAGTTAGTTTTAACTGTTAACATCCTATTGTATGATGAATCAGTTAAGCGTAGTACGTTGCAGCCGTTTAGGGATTTATTAGGTTGTCAGTGTAGAAAATGCAAAATCCATCTTTACTGCCTACCCTCTGGGTTTTAAGTAATCCCATCGTTGCAAGTGCTATCTGTTTATTTGATTTAGTCCTAATGCAGTTGGGGATGATACTAGACGCCGCCTCGAAATTGTTGGTTTGCCTGCGTCCAAGGAATATGATATGGCTTCCAACCAATTTGTGTTACAAAAAGTTCTCATGAAAATTGGTGGTATCCAGTCTCGAGTTCATCGTCTACAAGAGCGTCTCAGCAAGGCTCGCTCTAAACAAGCAAAGCTGGCATCTTTCATGGATCATGACCAGGTCAAGGTGGCTGAGAAGAGGCAAAGGATACAAAAACGTGCATTCTCTCCTGAGAATGATCGATATGCTAAGCCACAGAAAAAGAAGAAGCTAAACATTTTGCTGGAGCAGGAGGATAGACCAACTCTGTCAGTAAATCCCACATTGTCTGAGAGGGCAACTGATTGTTTAATAGAAGATCCACAGGGTAATAGTGAAGAAAAAGCTCTAGAGAGGAGCCAGGCACATAAGAAAGACATCACAGCGGATCTACTTCTAGCTGTTGAAAGTTCCTTACCAAATGGTCATTTGGGAGATTTGTGCAAAGAAGTAAGTCCTTGCTCCTTGGTCCGTTAACAGATGTTTCTTCTTTGTTTCGTTGCATGGTCCTTAGCTTATGCTTCTTTAGTCCATTGCTTTGATCTTGTTCAGTTGTGGTGAATTTGGTTCAGCTCAGTTGTATTTAAAGATATTCATTGTGAAATGGAATACATATCCACCTATGGCTTGTATGTACATAGTAGGACTTCGATTTAGAAAACCCTAATTATGAAGTATATAGAATATAAAACAAATGCTACACTGCTGTGAAAATATTGTACAAATGACTTGTCTACTTGTGAACTCTGGTCGAGTTAAATGCGTCATTAGTCCATTAACTCAAACTCTTTGCGCACTTTAGACCAAGAACTCAGAAAATGATTGATTTAGGCCAACTCGTTTATTTGATCAGTTAAGGCTAAAACCGATCCAGGAGAGAAAAGAACGTCCACGTGGCTGTCGCATCGGCATATCTTGAACCGCTCGCGCTTGGATTAATTTTACAGGGTGGATTTTTGCAAAAGAAGCCGTCACAATTTAGCTAATGGCACATTAAAAAAATATAAGCGAGCAGTGTATTGAGTGGGAATCGAACCTAGGCCTTACAGAATATAAGTGACAACTCGATCCGCTAGAATGCACAATAATTTGATATAAATGAGGTTAATTAATTATTTCTATATGGTACGTTTAATTGTTTTTGAAAAAATAGCCAATTGTTGATGTTATTTGTGTTTAAAAAAATAAAAGACATCGGGCATCAGGTAGGCTTGAATGGGCACCCTAAGTAAAGGAACGTGATGTGCTGATGCTAGGATGCAAATCGGTTCATCGCAAAAAAAGAGAAGAAGAGCCATGCATCATACTCGCAACAACAACAACGTCGCTGAGAGGGTTACGCCCCAACGAAAATCTTTTGGGTTGCATCATACTCGCAAAAATAAAAATAAATTAGCAGGACAACTATTTTGCAGCTAAAAAAGAAAAAAAGCAGTATGACATAACCACCATTGTTTATTTCCCAAACAAGGAGAGGAGAAGAAACAAATACGTACACATTGTGGATGCTTGCGGTATCTCGTTTGCTAGAACTAGCAGCTTAGCCGGCCAAACATATCTTGATTTAGTTTGCATGTACATAATAAAAGGAGCATGTAATGATGGTTCGCCGTGCTTCTATATAGTTTTTTTAGGGTAAAGCTGGTGATATATACTAAGCTTCCATCCTATTAGAGTCATTAAACAGGAAAGAAATAACTTTATTTATCAATAAAAATAGTGTTAATTCTAGTGGTTGGAGGTGTCACTTATTTTCCCTAAGGCCTAGGTTCGACTCCCACTCAGTTTTTTTTAAATATGCCATTAGCTAAATTGTGATGGCATATTTGCAAAAAAACACCCTATAAAATTTACCCAAGCGCGAGTGGTCCAAGATATGCCGACGTGGTAGCCACATGGACGGTTTTTTTATCTCCCAGATCGGTTTTGGTCTTAACTGATCAAATAAACGAGTTTATGGCCTAAATCGATCATTTTCCAAGTTCTTTGCCTAAAGTGTGCAATGAGTTTGAGTTAATGGATTAATGGCGCATTTCACTCACTCTGATCCCCCACCCCCACCCACGAACCCTGAAACAATGTCTTCCCTGTGATACAAGAACTGTAATTAAGTCTTGGATACGGGATTTGGGACCTGTGACAGATGTGTAGCATGTTATACATGAGATCTTAGGAGTACATTTCATAGGAGGATGCTTGTACACCAGATCCATCCAGAATTTCATATTTACTGTGCCATGACAAGTAGAAATTGCAGGTTCTAAAACTGAGAAGTCACAGTGCAATGTACTGAAGCACTTCACTTGCAATTTTTCGATAGCACACAATACAACTATGCTATATTTCTTCGGCAGCTACCAGATCTTTCAGTGGCCAGATAATTTAGGTTATGCCATATAACATCCACTATCCAATAATCATCTGATTCATTTCAGCTGCTAAGAACCTTTTATTTGGCTAATCCCTTTTTTTAATAAGTTAGCTCCTTGGGTAATACTTCTGCATGGGCATTAGTTGATATTGTTGCTGTTTCTTTTCACAGAACACTGATGATATCCTCATAGACAACCAAGGGGCCAAAGATGGGTATCAGCCGTTTGAGAACACCAAGCATCCCCCTGAGGAACCACCTGTGCTTATTGAGAATGTTGCTAAAACTGCTCCATCGAAAGTTGGGAATACCTCTGAACCAGTGGAAGCCGAGAAAAGTTTGGTCCCACTGGTTAAGCAAGAAGTAACTATTGGAAAACTGCCAGTTTTGAAGCATGTCTACTCTGGAAAGAAACGTGGAAGGACACCCAAGACAGAAGATATGGACTCTGCAGCTGCATCCAAGAACCACAATAAAGAGGCCTCCGAAACACCTTCTGCAAAGCAGAAAGCTGAGACAACACCCTGCGCTGAAAACGAGAACGCTGGCTCAAAGAAGCAGAAAACAGTGGACATTCGGTCTCCTTCAAATAAGTCAAACTCTGGGAATTCTTGTTCAGCTGCAGAGAAGCTGAAAATTGGAAACTCATCCTCAGCTGCAAAGGCGCAGAAATCTGGAAGCTCATCCTCATCCGCAAAGGCTCCAAAAACAGGAAACTCATCCTCAGATGGAAATAAGCAGGCAGCTGGAAACTCATCATCAGCTGCGAAGAAGCCAAAAATGGGGAACTCATCCTCGGATGGAAAGAAGCAGGCAGCTGGAAACTCATTCACAGCTGCGAAGCCAAAAACAGGAAAGTCATCTCCAGATGGAAAGAAGCAGGCAGCTGGAAACTCGTCCGCACCTGCAAGGACGGAGATGAGTGAAAACATCCACACCAATCTTAGGATTGAGAAGGCTATCTTGGTGGAGGTGAACAGCAGGAGGAGTCAAAGGGTACGAAAGCCTAAGGTTTACTGAAGCAAAACCGGACTGCTCAAATTCAGGGTAGTGTAATTATGAAAAACAGGTCTTGTTTATCAATCTATCCCTTCCGTCTTGCTGAAGTTCGTAGCTATATTGACAGCGGCTTCTCGCAAAGTAATTTAGTGTAGATATTCCTAACCTTTTCGTTTGGGTCACCAAACTAAAAATATGCTTCTTATGTATAGTTGTTCTTTGCTGAGCTTGTGATGCAAATATGCTTGCACTTGGTGTCTCTCTACTGCATTGTTTGTTCAGTTTTGACACTTCCAGTTGTATTCACCTAGCATTTGTTTCCTCCCTTGGTTGGTGATGTTTGAGTCAGGCCAGACCTCCACCCTTCTACTACTCCGTCCCACAATATAAGATCGTTTTGCGAGCTGTTTTAGCTTGCAAGACGATCTTATATTACGGGACGGAGTATATTGCAGGTTGAAGACGATAAAATTATGTGCCCCATAATTCATTAGTTGAGGCGAATCAGTCTGCCCTCCTGATGGAGACAATGATGATTGATAACACCAAAAGATCAACCCTTGCACCTTCAGTTGGTCACTTGACACAGACTGCCAAAGAAGGCTTAATTCCCATTCAAAAAGAGAAGGCTTAATTCTCTGTGACAGAGAATCAGAGGACAGCGAGGAGTAATCTTGGATTTACTGGTCGGAATATTTACCCTTCTAGGAAGAGAGGAAATTGGTGTTCAGAAAAGCTTCAAGCTGGCAGAAAAAGTTGCATTGATAATGGAATAAGCGCAACCTTTCCTTTCATAGGTACATCCTTCTAACCAATACTTTTAACAGTTTGCAACCTGTGATATAGCTCATGTCATGGAGTAGATGTGTCCTAGCTTTATGACCGTTCAAACTCATTCGTAAGCGTCAGCATGCTTTTCTGTGTACATTTGATGGGAGCATACTAGATATATGGTCTGTTTGTGGCATAACTAAATAGAGTCATATTGAACTGCTGAAGATTTCAAGACCAGGTGGGTTATCTCTCTTATCGCATACAGCTGAAGAAGTTCAGCCTTTTTGCTGTGGGAGGTGCGTGATAGTGATCTGGTGAAGGATGCGGAGACTACAGCTAACGGCCTGACTGGTGCATCCGGTGATTTACTGTTGAAGAGCATTACTTGTAATAAAATATCCTCATAAATTTGAAATTAAGTAATCCTGGTAAACTTTAATCAGATTCTAAAGAGCTAAAACTTTGTGGGAAGAAGTTTTTGAAAATCCTAGCACCTGCTGTTTCTGCTTTTCTCTGCACCTTGGAGTGTATGCATGAATTGCAAATGTTATGGTAGAAGCTTCACTCTTTGTTTTACTTACACATACGCGATCAGTCATCTTATCAAGCAGTCCATTTTCACCCTTGTATTTACTCTGAAGAACATTGAGGTTTGTATATATTTTTCAGTTATTTCTGAAAATGAAGAGAAGGCTGGCAAGGTTTTGACATGTCTCCTTCCTTACTTTCAGTTTGAGAGTATCAGCTCGGACATCTCTGGTTTCACGGATCATCAAAACTGCTGATAAGTCCCTTAACAAAGTTGAACAAAACGCAGCTATGTGTTGATAAGTGTCCAAGTGGAAAATTACCGGCAGAGTAGACCCGTCCTGATGAGATTGAAAGTATCTTAAGAGACGTTTTCCCCGACCATTTGTTCATGTTAGTCGGATCACCTGAGCAAACTGCTACTACCTACTTTCTCCGTCCCATATTAATTGATGCTCAAGTGGATGTATCTAGCACAAAAATATGTATAGATACATCCATTTGAGCGTCAATTATAAGGGACAGGGACGGAGGGAGTACCAAACTGCAGATTTGGCCAATGATGATCTGTAAAAGAACAGAACAGACTCCTGAAAATACAGTCTGAACTCTGCAGATTCATCCTATAGAAGCGTGTCAAATCGGACTTGTGCCATCATCGTGGGATGAGAAACTTAATCAGCAGTGCCATCATCCCACATTCCTTTGATATCAACTCGCTCGCACTCTATAGCAAGTATGATCTCTTCTACTACTGATTGTACTAAAAATAAGCTAAACTACATCTCTTTTCATTCTCTAACAGACTTAACAGAATACGTCTATCTGGTTTGTCCAGCAGCACGACCAACGCACGTATGATCATGTCCTTGCTCTAGCCAGCTAAATGGTGGTACGTGTAGTCAAATCGGACTTGTGCGCCATCACCTCCACATCCCAACGTATTTTGCCGGAGCAGGAAACTAAAACACTCACAGATCCATGCCTCGAAATCTGTCACCAGAAAATCGAACATTTTCTTTTCAAATAGATCGTTGAAATTCTGAAGATACATGTCAACTGAGATTGGAGGTTGGTGCTCTACACCTCAGGAAACGGAAAATCCTGTTCAAGGAGGAGCACTTGCAAGTTGCAACAGATAGATGCGAAAATATGAAGGAGAACCTGGGTACCAGCGCACCTTATATGCAAAAAAAAAAGTAATTCAAAAAAAGTTCAAAAAATTCTAAATCTTTTTTGGTATTAAACATGATCAAGTATTGTAGTCATATAAAAAGATTCGTCGGGGAATGACTTCCGTTGCATCCTGGGTCAAAGATTCGGCAAAAAACGCTATATACAAGTACTGTACACGCTATATTGTTGTCATAAATTTGTCTTTTTTGCCGTGGAGTCAATATGAATCATTTTTTGTCCAAACTTTTTATACGAGTACAATACCTGATCATGTTTGATTCCAAAAAAGATTTAGAATTTTTGAATTTTTTTTGAATTACTAATTTTTTTTCCGCATAGGGTGCGCGGGTACCCGAGAGCACCAATTTCGCGTCTCAGATAGATGCCTTTACTATTCTTTCCATGTGAGACCAACAACCTTCGCAATAAACAAATACATCCTTTTTTTATTCACATGTGGAAGTAGCAAACTTTCAAGAGACATAAACAATTGTATTTTACTCATGTGTGGGACCTAACACAAATAAACAAATATTCTACTACTTTAATGAGAAACCAACACTCATGTAGAAGACACAAATAACAATTACAAACAATATGACTCCCAACTCAAGATCATGATTTTAGTTTTAGTTTTTCCTAACAAATTTTTTAAGTTCTATATCATATCATAGGACATTGAACAAATTGTAATGCCCATTCTCCCATGTTTCTAAATTAAAATGTTGTCTCACTATATACTATCTTTCAAAGGACCTACTACGGTCACATCAAATTCTTCGACACCTACCTCATCCCTCTTACTGTATTTTTGCTCCCTTTAATCGTGAATCGTGCAAGATATATACTACAATCTTTTGATCATCTTCTAAGTCGGTGGCCTAACGTCTCTCATTTTTAATAGCTTCGTGGCAACGCACGGGCACTGTGCTAGTGATGGTAAAATCCCTACTTCGAGCACCAATCCAAGTGACGCTAGGGTAGGCTACCCGGACCCTGATGGTGTCCTCACCAAGTTCTCCGTAGCTGAACCTGAATCAAGGCCACTGGGAAGCCCCCTCCCCCCACCTGCACCCCCTGGTGCTTGGATCAAGAAAACAGTCTCCCTCAGCCCGTCTACGCCGTTGGAGTTGCCGCCCTCTCCTACTTCATCCCCGATGAAGAAGCTCAAAATCAAGGCCGTGATAGGTGTTGAAGCTGCACTAGAGCAGGGTGTGGCATTGAGGGGCCCATCCCCTTTTCTCCCGGCTTAGGAAATGTAGCTTATGCTCTCATTTTAGTAGTACATGATTGGAGCTTTAAAAGGCGGGAAACTTATCCCTGGTCAGTAATAAACGTAGACAAAATTTTCTTTTTTTCCTAGAGAAAAGAATGCTTTTTTCTGCTTTCG